GGGTACCTGGACGCGGCCAAGGGGGGACCGCGCCGACAGGGTTGCATTGTGGCGATGAGTGGGCATCTCTGAAGCGCGGTATGGCTGGTTGGTGATGGATGATGGTCCTTGTCACGTGAAAAGGAAAGTTCTGTGGGTGCAAGGAGATTCGAACTGTTCGGTTGCGGGGGTCGTTGCCACCGTCGGCAAGGCTCTTCGCTGTGAGAAGTGTGAAAAAATATGTAAGCCCTGGGCGCTTTGCATGTGGCGTGGCCTTGCGTCTGGCCGTGTGCTAACCCGTTGAAGCATCGGCGATCGTGGATTCGCGTTTCCCGTGTGCATTCCAAAGGGAGCCGTTTGAATTACATCAATGGCTTTTCCTTCAAGAGGGCAAAATCAATGCCGGTGGCGCGGCCCCCAATGCTTAACATCAGGCACTTTGGATTCATCCAGGGCGAACAAACGAACCGTATTCAATCCTCTGTTGGTCCATGGGTCTCTTCAGTCTAAAGCAAAGCGACGGGGGTTTTGCCTTCTTTGAGCAAGCAGCGGCAAACGAAGCAATCATGCAAGGCTAAATAACAATAAAATATCAGTGAAATAGCAATGAAAACCAATAGCATTGCACTGAAACACAGACAAGTAATGAAACAACAGTGCAAAAACAGCAAACGAAAACACAACAACTAGACGTATAGGCATGAAAATCCCTCAAATGTGCAGAAAGCGCCAGCAGCGCCCACTAAGCAAAGTTCCTTCCCGACTCACGGTGTGGATATCAATGCGGTGCGACTTCTGGAACATTGCCACTGGGGGGACGGCGTACTATGGCAACATCGAACCCATCAAGTTCCTGCTGTCGGCTGGCGCAAACCGTTCCATCGGCGCCGGGAACGGCTTCGTTGACGGAGTTTGGAACACGTCACAGACGCCAACCTGCTGCAGTGCCACCAGGGAACGTGCCAATCAGACGATCGAATATATGAAATAGGAGCGTTGATGTGCCGCTCTGGATCAGGAGGATCGACAAGAGGTTCAGCTCCAGGAGTGCACAATATCGAGCAAAATGTAAGAAGATAATGTTTACGAAATTTGAGTGCACCTAAAGGCTGGAAAAAACCTTGTACCATTTCCCTATGAGAGTAGACGTTGTTTCAGGAAAAGTGCCATGAATTTCTGGGAAATTTACAGCACTTGCTTGCACCCTTTTATTCCCAGTATTGTGTAGTGTTAGATGTTAATAGTTCTCGATCTGAAGAAAGTTAAATGCTGTCGAATTTGGAATCGGATGCATTCCAAATGTGGTTGTTTGTTGGTAGACTCCAATGCCGCTGCACGCAAATGATGCTGCACGGGTTGTCCACAGGCACAGAACCGACAAGATTATTATAGGATTTGCGATCCCAATTGCAAGTTTAAAATTAATGTGGTTAGCTTGGTACATTGAAGGCCACATAGATCCCCATGGAAAAGGAAGGAAGAGGCAGCATTCACCGCAAGTGGCATGGCACTACTTGTGCAGGATAGAGGTGGCCACCTGGATCCGTTAATAGGGGACAGAGGTTGATTTCCGTTAATTTTCCGTTAATTAACGGAAAATAACGAAAAAAGACAAAAAATAACCAAAAATTAACGGATTTTTGGATTTTTTGGGATTTTTGGGTTTTATTCATACTTATAGTTTATGGAATTCGCTATTAGAGAGTACGTTTGTATTTTATTTCAACCTATGCATACTAGATTTTCAACTAGCCGCAGTTGTTGTGATTTTTTGGGTTTTTTTCGATTTTTTTAGATTTTTTTCGTTTTTTCTGAATTTTTCTCCCTTTTTCTTTAATGGAATTTAACGGACAGCTGATAAAAATTAACGAACCGGACTTAACGGACCGGATGGCATCTTTGAGTGGCCACCTCTAGTGCAGGATTGCTGTAGTGCAGAGTCATGATGACGCGGCAGAAGTTCTCTCTGTCTTTTTATGGGCACCTCCACCACTCAGTGTATTTCAGAAATTTCCTTTTGGTTTTGGCCTGTGTCACTGATACTTTGCTGTTGTAACAATGGCACGTTGCGAGTTTGAGGGGCCTCAAATCTGGGAATTCGGCACCTCAGGGGACCGCTTTGTGTATCCTAGGGGGACAGATTCGCATTCCGCTGTGACATGCACTTACATCGCATTGTACTGTGCATGCTGAAAGTTGTTGACTCCTGATGAACGTAACAAGAACTTGTTATTTCTTGTGCCTTGGTTGCACAAGGTGTACTCGACTGATGTTGCTTCTCATCAATATGGTTGCGCTTTTCGGCAACAATGCTTTTGTATGTGGCCATCTCACTGTAGCCGTCGCCGCACCAAGTGGGTTACTGTCGATTAAACCGAGAGGGAGGCACAATTATGGGCCCCAATATTTTCATTACTGAAAACATGCTGTGCTTGAAGTCACATTGCTTGAATGAGCTACTTGCGAAAGACGGTGCTCATATAATTGGGAACCGTGACTGTGTCAACGAAGAATGGCTGTGCGTTTCTTATGAAGCCCCGGTCGCTAATCTCGTGCCCTGGTGTCCAGTTGCGATTGAATTATCTTAAACCGGTATGGTGCGTTGGTCAGTGTGGGTGTTGATCAATTTTGATCAATGCCTTCATGGGGGCCTGCATCTACGTGCCTTCTGGTATCGCCACTCACATGACATGGACGTCTTGTGGCGTTAGACATGACAATGGTCTCCTTATTCTCTGCTGTCCCTGGAAACTTCGTCAGAAATTCGATGGCCACGTGTTGTCATTGGGAGTTGTATTGTTGGCAAGTATCCGCGCAGACTGAGTATATGCCATTGACGTTCACCTCCGAGTCTAGACTTGGTGTTTTTGTGATGCGCGTTGATGTTGCAGTAGATGAGATGACAGGAAAGTATACTTGTAAGCCAAGGACAGTCGTTTAGAAAAGACATTATTTTGAATTTTCTAAGCTAGGCGCCAAATTGACGTGAAGGGGAGGAAGGTTCCAGCCATTGACGCTAAGAGATTATGCCATTGCACTAAAGTCAAAACAAGGTGGGAAGATGCTAAAAAACGCCACTGATCAGTAGCAGATAGGCCATGGCTTGTTGCAAACCTCCCTCAAAACTTTCCATCTTCTAAAGAGTCCCTACAATGGATCAATTTCAGGCATTGGGTTGCTTCCATCACATATTATGGCTTTTGGTATCGCATTTTCAAATCATTGCAATCGCCACACCTTCGGTCTGTTTTTCCCTTAAAACTATTATGAAGCTGTGTTGCATTGTTAGGCAATATTGCTGAGTCATCCTGGAATCGAAATAAGCATTGACGCTGAGGAAGGGGGGTAGGGGGGGGTCTAAGCTTAACGTCGCATTTACGGTAAGCGTACAAAATTCAAAATAATGTCTACTCTTACTCTTGTGAGCAATTCCCAAGGCACAATAAACTTATTTTGACGTATTTTGACAACTACTGGTAAATTCACCGATCCTTAAATGGTGAATGGAACACATTTTAAGTAATTGGATGGGAGCTGCTATGGCTCAGTGGACCGCTATGAATCTGTCAGGTGGTTTGGTGATGTGGTGCACGCTTATGTAAAGATGTACCTTCATGATTTGGTGCCATGGAATCTTGAAATCATAGTTTTATATTTTGCGTTTTCGTGACTCACATTTGATATTTGTACTCCTGCCAGGAATTCAGTGACTGAAGGTTCTGAGGGAACACATACTGTTGAGGCACCCATATCGCGCCCCCTCTATAGCGCCCCGTTTCCTGGCGTGGTACCGTTGCTGTAGTACATTATGCAGCTCTGATGTGCGGTGGGATCTCAAACCAGTGTATTGGACATTCAAACGGACACAAAAGAGGTGGCTGGTGGACTTGAATCGTTCGTTGGTCGCTGAATAGGGATTGTTTCTGCCTGCCAGGCTTGCCCTGGGCCGCTTGCAATTGCAGGTTGCCATTTGCGTACCCCGCAATGCCGACCGTGCACACAGGGCTGCTATGCTCAACATAAGCGGAGCTCCAGCCTTTCGACATTGCGGAATTCGCATGAGGGAACCCAACTCGGTTTTTGACAGTGCCAAAGGTAGTCCTGTCGCCGAGTGTGCAAGAAAAACAACGTCCATATCACCCATGCAGCCACAATCGTCTTCTTCAGAAAGCATCTGGAAAGTTATGTCACGGTGGTTGGCAGTGCCGCTGAGCCATCTTGGAATCGACGTAAGGATTGACGAAAGGAGGGGGGCAGGGGAGAGGTGGGGTGGGGTTCCAATCTTGGTGTCAAATTGATGCTAAGCGAGCCAAAATCGACATAGCGTCTTCCCTTAATTTATCTTTGTAAGACAAATGCAACGAAGCACTTGAGTTTACAGCGCATTTAAACGCTACCAAATACTTCCTTCACACAATTCTGGCCACAAACGTACCGTGTTGCCTTGCTGAAAATCGTGCGCTGATGGTTAGAAGCTCGTCAAAATGGGGTCAACTTGTGCAACATCATGATGTTGCTGATCAGCTGATCAGCTGAGCTGTGGGTACCATTGTACCAGTGACATTGATTCCAATGGTCTTGGTGAACTGAAAATCTGTAACCTAGTATCCCAGCCGAATGCTGCCTATGCTGAAGACTAGCGCCAGCTTCGAGTCCCGACAAACACAAGGGATTGCGCGTCGCCTCTCACTCCTGCATCGGTTAAGAAGCGCTGCAACAAAGATGTGCAAGTTCTCCCTGGGGAGACAATCCCTTCCCCCGGCGCATTGTTACAATGTTGCTGGGTGTATCATCACCAATGACGACCACCCTGTGGTGCAAATTACGGCAGACAACTCTCTCTCCCCCTCTCGCTCATCCCGATCGATCGCATCAATGCGATACGTATCGCAGCGATACGTATACGGAACCTCTGACTCACAACATGCGATGCCTGCATGCCGTTTCTCAGGTCCTGGAAACGGCCTAAAGGTAACAAGAAACATGCAATCGCAAGAGACAGAGGCGTCGCCTGAAAACAATCATATTATGAAAGGAATAAGAGCCTTCCTGTGCTTGGGATAATCTTCGAATTTCTTGAGATACCATCGATGCGTCTCCATAGCAGCCAATGCCAAGTTGGACACCTGGGCAACCGGCAGCAACACAAACGAACAGTTTTGAACGCCCCCCATGGAAATCTCCCTTGAGGCAGGCCAGGGGTCACACCCGCAAACATGCCAACGTGACATTTACAGCCAAAAGGAAAGAACAGCAATCACCAGGATGCCAGCGGCTTGGCGACAGCAGCCTTTGACAGAATGGTGTAACAGATCGAGCAAAGAACAATTTCGCTGGTGAAGTGGTTGCTGCTACTTCTAATGGAGAACAGAAGCATTCAATCTTGGCGCAGCCCTGCAAAAGGCTTCATTCACGTTATCCAACAGCAGCGCAAGTCTGCCAATAGTGGACGCAGCACAAAGCAAGATAATACGCCTTCAGCAGAGCCGAATCGCTTGAAGACATTTCATGATATTACACAGCCTTACCACCCAGAGCATGACGAGGTGCAAGGCAGGCTTCGCTGCCTGTGTGACAAGCAGGCCACTGTAGATGATGATCTCCGCGAAATAATGTGGACAGGACACATACTCAAAGAGGCCACCTGTGGGCAAGGCAGACACCTTGCACCATATCGAAGGGAGCGGGCAACAAAAGGCGCAGACTATGAGCTTATGCTCACAATCATGCACTATCGTGTCCCAACCTCAAGAAATACATCAGTGCAACAAACAGCAAACAAACAAGTCTGCACAAGACAGCAGCTGACATGATCAAAGCCAAAGCAAACCACACTGTGCAGCAGCCTACAATCCATTCGATACAGAAGAGCCAATCGCACTACTTCTAAAGCAGCAACATTCTGCTGCTGGCACACACAAAATTCTGAACAAGTTCCTTTCAAAATTATGAACAAGTTCGGAACAAACGCATCATGAGCACACTGTGCCTTGAGCCTTTTTCGGACCCCCTGGCAACTCCAGAGCGCCTGACCCAGGCACAAGGGTTACACGGGTGCCCTGTGACACCCTGACATCTGCTCAAGACTCTATTCTCCATGTCAGTCCTGCAACACACCTTTTGGCAATTTGTACACATGAGGTGTCGCCCCTTCAGCTTGGGCTCCTGCGGTTGGGTTCAGTTGGGATAGCTGACGATGCACCAAGAACTGAAGCACTGAACCGAGCAAAAATATTGCAAAACCCTGGAACAGCACACAGCCTACTCACTGGCAAGGTGTGCATTTCTGTAGCAGGTGCCACCTCATCTGTTCCCCTCAACGCAACACTAGTGCAGGTGCCCTAATAGTCCAAGCCAGGGGAACCCAAACGCCATCGTCTGCAGGTTGGTTTTGCACTTTCTATATATTGCCCATTGGTGCAGACAGGCAAATTAGTGAACAAAACTGCTTGTGAATACGGCATACTGACAGGACATGCCCTCAAAGGCAGAGTGTAAGATGTTGATTCACACGTGGCTGACTGTGAATACCTAAGCCGTACATAGGCAGCAGTCTCACTCCAGTGGAGTGTAAATCTACTCCTTGTGCAGGAAGTGGCCTGAGGCAGAAAGGAATCCAGGATGTGGCATGATACTCTTTACACCTTGGAGGGTTTCCATTGCAGGCAAACAGCACTCCACAAGCAGCTTACTGACAGGTCAGCACAGGAAAGAGTGTGATGCACGATACATCCCATGATGCCGCACTGCCAGTTAGTGTGGTCTTAACATCCTGTTGCCTGTTTTGATTTCAGCAGTGATGCACCTGCTGACTGTAGTCCAGGAGATCAATACTGGCCTTGTTTAGGGATGAAATACAAGGCTGTGGACTACATCAGATACTAACTAGAACTCATGAAGGTACAAGTATAGTAATAATAGTCCAGCACACTTTGCATCGGACCAACTAACAACAGGATGCACAGCCATATCGGCACCAAATCTATTTTTGGCAGATGTTACATGTCACTAATTCACTGCTGATTAGTGCCTGGCACCCCAGTGTTGCCATGAAGGGGTTGGGTGCAAGCAAGACCCTTATCTCTATATCCCTATAAATCAGTGAAAAGCAAAGGCAAGGAGTGAGCCTTCACATAACAGGGGACATGTTCAATGCACTTACCACAATCTGCGTCTGCTCAACAGCGATGACAGCCGCCTCTGCATACTTGGACACATAGCTGGGGACTTCTGCGACATTGTCCATTGGAAGATTCAAGCGGCTGAAGCTCATCCACCATGCATCTGGCACAAACGTCATTGGAAGGACCAGGTAGTAGCTACACACACAACACAACAACGTTCACACCAGCAGGCAATTCTTTCCGGCGCATGGCGTTACTAGGTCTTGCTCTTCTCTTAAATTCTTGGTGTCAACAACACTTGCAACATTCGAGTGACGGAAATCGACCTAGTGGACAGACTGGGAGTTAACAGGAATGTTGCTGAGATGTACTGGTTCTTGTGTTCTTATCTAATTTTTACTTCATCTGATAATTTGATCGACAGCACTGCCAACAACTTTTAACAACACCGTTCACACCATCTCCTAACACCCAAGGAAGTATCTCTATTCTGGCGGGCAACTTACAGTTGGCAGGTGACTCAGTAAAACATGGTGAGCTCGATCAAAGCTATGTCCATCCAGCTGGGCTAATTGTTGACACATCTGCTGCCAATGGCTGTTGCATGCAGCTTTAACGTTCTTGCATGCATACATGGCCATCAACGCCTACAAGGTGCAAGGGTGCCGCTTTGTCCTGCCAAAGGCAACTTCAACAAAGAAACAACAGCAGATGCATACAGCGCAATGGTCCTTTTGGCCATTGCCTTATGAAGGGAACACAACTGCCTGTGCGGACCCATAGTTGCTTGGCGATCAGTGTCCAACATCGTCCAGTAGGTTGTACTGTTACTACGATCGTTGTAAACATTTGCCAGTTATACAACTCATTGATTATCGTTGATACGTGTGTATCATAATTCAACTAGCGCCCATCAGCTGATAGGTGCACATTCGGTGCACAGTTCGCTGCATGCTAATTTGCTCACCTTAATCCAAAGACATAGGCCACAGTGTGCATGCGGTCGTTGCGACCGCTGGTCAGCATGAAACAAGACTCCAGCAGCCTTCGCAGCAAGTGGGCTTGAAACATGAGAGAAGTGATGCAGTGCACAGGCAGCAGCTGGAGATGGTACACGTCTCGGTGGTCAATTCCGTGCAAAGGGCGTGCCCCTTTGCAGTGTTATGTATGCACCAGCAGTTCTGGTAGCATTGTGCAGTGCTCGCACACATCACTATGTGTTGCTACGTCTTTGATGGAATCACTACACATTGAAGTATTGCTGACATATGGAACGACAAAACCAAGGGCAAATGAGGAACCAAGTCAAACAACAGGCATTCCCCTCCTTAACATGATGTTTGCACCACTTTCCCTTGCATAAGCTACAAAGCTCAGCCATTGTGGCCAATTCATCTTTTGCAAGCAATACCTGAAGCTCCTCACACTGCCAACAAATTGACGTTGTGCCAATTCATGATCCAACATGTCCTGGATGAGGGCATTTTCAGTGGTCATGTAAGGTGCAAAAGCAGCCTTTTTTGTGCAATGAAGAATTCTAGTGGAAGTAATGCGTCAAATCAGAAGGGAAGTTGGATACAAACAATGGAGTTTGCCTGAATCCTTCCCCACATCTGCAAAGCCAAACAACATAAACTGCATCATCTTAGCTTGGGGTGAGGGGCACTGATTTGTTAGAGAAGCAAATGAAATTGGAGAAGAAATGGAAACACAGCACAACACCTGTGCTGCATTGTGCAGATGCCCCCCACTGCTCCAATGCCAGGAAATCAAATACAGAAAAAGTGTATTTGAAAAGGAGCCCGCCACATAGAAATGCCAGAACCAGTCATGTGGGACAGACATGTCCTGCAAGAAAGGGACACTGCTCTCAGACCAATGTGCCATACTACAACTTGCTGAAGAAAATGGCTTGCATGGCAAATCTGTCACACCAGAACGTCTTCAGGCAATCATGCGCTACAAACTCTGCATATGTCCATGCAGTGTATTGTTTGACCCATGCTGAATAAATGATCGAACTGCGACACAGACTTTTGTTGCATGCACAGATCGAAAGGAAGCAAATATTGGTTACAGGCGCCTACTGACAAAGGGCAAGCGATGGACTGCTTTGGGTGCCATGTTGCTGCTGCAACAGACAACAGGGCTGATCCACTACAAAGCCCAGGAAGACGTTGTGAACCAAGGCGACGCACAACAATGCTTCTGCTGCAGCATTTGTCTGCCAATGGATTGGCTTTGGCTACCAAGGGTGTTCTGGCAGAGAACTCAGATGTACCAAGAGCGAAACAAGGGCCAAGAACGTGTAGAATTGGAGCAACATTGCCAGTAGCCATCATGACTCCAGTCAGACATAGCGTCAAAACATCAACACACAGCAACGAAAGTGGCACAGGCAAATCACATGCCACACAAGAACCGTGCATAACATTCTCTTGGATTCCCATTGGCTCTCCATCGACATATTTGGTTCTAGATATCATTCTGACCATTCAGTCCCTCTTCCACTCCCCTGCCTTGAGTGGATTGCAGGGACACCTCTTATTCCCTCTAAACTTGACACTTTGCCACTCTCTGTTGGCACTTGTAATATGGTTTGCCTGGACTCAGAGCTCATGTCACAACCTGGTCGGTCTGAACAGACTGGTGACCAAATGCTGCAAATATTAAGATTTTCTATTTGGTACCCCTTGCTGATTTGCCGATTGCACAATGTTATGTCACTCAGTTCAGTAAAAGTGCAGTGTGTCAAAATACCCAATTTCCAAGATAAATTTGCACATCAGCAGAGAATCCATGCACTACAGTTCTCAGTTGTGTTGCATCACTGCAGCCTAGGGGCAACCGGAACAGCCAATTGGATTATCACCACAGCGCTGAAGAATCGTCCAAACCCATCTACCATATGCACACCTTGAACCGGCCCAGCACAGCAGGCCTTGACTGCCATGTCTTTCCCCTCGCTGCGCTTAGCAAAACTGCAGATCTGTAAGCTCACACAGCGGTGTCACTGCCCTCTGCCATGGCCCCATTGACATCAACAAACGTCCGTCCCAAATGGATGCCGCACAGATACTATCCCCGACCACCGTCGCGGTCAGTCGATTCGCAACTAATGAATCGTTGTGATCATGGGCTTGACCGATAATCCGTGTCGATTTGTCCCTCTTTTCCTCCCCGATCTTCTTCAGGCCGCACTTAACACGCGTTGCACACGGGTGGTGACGCGAACGGGACACATCAAAAGAGATTCTCGGGATGCACAACTGCACTTAGCCTCCTTCGGGGCGCATTGCTCGGCTCTGCAAAGGCATACGCGGGCCAAACAACTCGGACCCAGCGCCCGACGACTGCGCGACCGAACAAGGTCCACGCTGGTCCAGAGCGACCCAACAACGACAGCAAGAAACCCCTCTTCCACCGTCACACCCACAGTCCCGATTTTCTCCTCAACGATAGACGGCCGCACGTCCTCGTTCAATTCCTTGCCCGTTTCCGATCATCGCTGTCGGATGCGCGAGCGCGCCAATCGCACCTGAAGAGGCCCAGCCCCGGCAAAGGGAACAGCGCCAGCACCACGGATGCCGCCGCAAGCGCCCAGAAGAGCTCTATGAGCACCGGCACGGCAGCCAACACCAGGGGCAGCATGTTGACCGTGCGCCGCTCCTGGTGCAAGGGGCAGCGAACCAAAGGGCTCTTGACCCACGCCCCCCTGCCCACGCCTTAAGTAGTTCATGTGCTCCACCATTCAAAACTCAGTACATATACATATATGTACTGTACAGTGTACAGCAGTACAGCACTCTACTGAGTACAGTGTTTTGCACGGCGTAGGGTACAGTTTAAGTGCATAGTGTGTAGAGTGCTGTGCAAAGTGTGGTTCAGTGTATACTGTAGAGTTTGATTCCAACTGGCTTTTTGGAAGTCCGTGTGGTAGTTTGTCCAGGCGGTGGCGGGTTGCGCCAGGGGCGTGGGAGCGCAGGACGGCACAGAAACCTGCCCAGACCTTCGCCAAGCTGCTGTTCGATGTTGCAAAGCGGCCACTGGCTCTGAGCGTGCGTGGCACTGGCTGCTCTACAGTCGGCCGTTTGAAGGTGCGGATGCAAAACTCCATGCGCGCCCTTGGCGGACCCTGTCGTCCCAATCCCCCCTCTCTCCCGTTGGAGAGGAGGCCTTCCTCCATTCGATCGCGTGGAGAAGCGCAGCTCGGACGAGAGAGCCTGCTGGGCGCTTTGCTGGAACCCGGCGTGCACCTGGGCCGAAGTCCTTCGCCAAAATTTGCCTCCAAAAGGCAAAGCAGGGCGCATTCGTCCTTTCAGGATATGGCGAGCGTGTGTATACATCCGAAAGCGTTTTGCTGTCTCTCATCCGTTCATGGTATCCATTCGCCACCCGTCTGCAGCCGCCCGTGCGTGCGCGGAACCGCTTGGCGTGATTGGCGGCCCTGCCTCCGCGCAGTTGCGCAGACGGGGCGAGCGGGGAGTGATCCACGACCGCTACCGCGTCCTGCGCGACGCGATCGGCGAGGGGCCGCACTGCCTGGTGCCCATCCTGCAGAGCCCAGTTCCGAATACGACGTGTGCACGGGGGGCAACTTTCCGTTTGTCGCAGGGAGGAAATGTGGGGGGAGGGGAATGAGCACCAAGTATTGTCAACACGGGTGACGCTTTGGTGTACCTCGGGTGTCCATTGGTCGCAAAATGTGTGGAAGCGAAATCTTTGCAGGTGGCAGGCATGGCCGGTGAAGGGCCATCCTGGCAGTGTCTGACTATTGTCCTCGGATCATTATGCATTGATTCATTGATATTTCCGCAGAGGAGGTTGGAGATTCCGTTGTTACGTTTGCCTTCAGGAAAAGGCAAAACACCCTGCAGTCGCATGTGTCAGGCTATACAAGCCACTAGTCGCAGAAGAAGGCATGTACCCAATGAACGTTGTTCCTCTTCGATCGGATTGTCGATTCGAGTGAATGTATTGCGTGCTTCGTGTGCTTGCACACAGTGAGGCAAAACTTTGTGGTTTCAACAGCAAGTAAACGTGTACTTCAAGTGGCACCCATTTCTTGACCACAGACATTTGCGACACTCGTTTCTGTACTGCAAGAGCTGATGCAGAAGCCTTGGGCACGGCAGGAATATCGAACACAGTGTACCAGAATGCTCTCCAATTTTCATGGCAGTGCACCAAACACGGAAGAACGCATGTCTTCGTGCTCATTCTGAGCCTTTGCACTGTTTCTTGAGCACGTACCTCTTTGCCAGTTCTGTTCCCTTATTGCATCCACAAGCAGCCCAACCAACACGACATATATCCATCGCTGCACTGTTTCTTGAGCACATACTTCTTTGTCAGTTCTGTTCCCTTATTGCATCAACCACCAGCCCAACCAACACGACATATATCCATTGCTGCTTTATTTTCCCACAGGCCATGCTTTCACTATCGAGGGCCTGGAGATAATGATACCTTCGATTTTGCTTGCACTGTAGGAGAGTTTGTTTGCTTGTGCTGGTGGATGCACAAGAACGGTTCATGGGATTCAGTGCATCCTGATGGTGAGTGGTGCTTGTGGTCAATATGGCACTGTGCATTTCTTTCCAAGCTCTGGATAGGCAAGTTTCAGTTATTCAGATGGTGAGCCTCTCTGAAACGTATACCATCATGACTGTGCTGTTTAGGCTCTCTGTTCAAGGCATCAGCCCAATCCATTGCGTGGTGTGAATTATTTGAATCCACTTGTCTGAAAATGCAACACAAATGTTGCAGGGTGTATGAAAAATATATGCGGCCTTGGCATCTTTCCCAAGCTGGTGTGCAGCACTGTCAAGCTCAAGTGGAGCTATGAATGTGGGTGCCCAGAGAGCACGAAATGTGTGCCATCGCCACCAACAAGCACCCATGGCTGTTCTGTCTGGGAAGTGAGTTGGAAGAAACCATTACATCCAACTTCTTATTATTGGTGACAAATAACACTTTGATACTCAGACGTCGCTTGTGAAGTGTGGGAATGCAGCAGCCATGGTTGTTGTAACATCCAGAGTGCAATTGCACATTCTACAACATCTGGATTGGACACAAAGTAGGATAAAGTAGTTTTGCTCCTGGGCATCACTTTGCCTCCATTTATCAGATTGTAGGGCAAGATTGCAACCCATGGCAGTCTGCTGCCAACCTGGCATGATGAGTGTTGTGTCCACACCATCACGACCCAAGTGGCAGCTGACGCCGCTTGCCCACTACTTTTTCAAGAACAACGTGCTTGTTGAAGGCCACTGGTTGGCCCATTGTGCAGCCACATCCTCTGAACACAGATGTTCCTGTTGACCCGTGTTTCCTGTGGGAACGCTGTGTCGCAAGATGTCACATAGGTTTTATGGTGTGTGCGATCCAAAACCGTTGAATGTGCAACCAAGAGTCCAAACCAATGATTGGTGGCATTGGTGGTGTCGAACTCAAAGCTGCCGATCAAATTCACACAACAGATACATTGTTTGACCACTGACATCCTTTGTTGTGGCAGGAAGCCATGACCAAATGCCTGTGGTCACCTATCGTACATCGATCCCCATGAGCAGCACGCAACCGCATAGCGAGTGTATCCCAATTCCAGCCTGCCCATGAATCCGATCCTGGCTTTGTATTGCAATTCTCGTCCCTTCCCTTCTCATGTGCTTGTGCTACCTGTCTGTTCTAATTCGGATATTCTCTTAAGCAGGTCGGCGTTCAGCAACCGCTCGGTGTCGCTCATCGGTTGGGCTCTCCGATGCAAGGCGTTTGCTCTCATTTGAGCCTCAAGTTCCAGCTTGATTTTGACTTTCTTCTGCAGCTCCGCTCTCTTCTTGCTGGCCTCTAGTTCTTCCTGCGCCTTCCCCTGCTGGACATAAGCCATGGCATGTTCCTGGCAGAATCCATGTAGCTGTTGTAAGTAGAGGCGAAAGAGAGACTCAACCCATAACAGGATTCAGTCAGACCTGAGTCAAGGTGACGAAGGGCTTTGGCACTTTGTGCAGCTGTAACTTGCGTCCACACAGTTCAGCGCCCGACAACTGCTGCACATTTGCCCCTTGATTCCCCATTTTCGAGAATAGGAGGGCCGCTTGGTGCAAACCGTGATGCTAAAGGCATGAAGCAGAGCCTCATACTGGAAGTGCACATGAGCAATTCAACATCTGCCAGACGTCACAAATCAGCTGCTGAGACACACAGGTTGCAAACCGAAGTAGGGTGACTTGATTGAATCTGGGACCCTGAAGGAGCAAAGATGGGATCTTGGATTCGGAACCCTGAAGCTCAATTCTTTAGAGTGTGTGTGGGGGGTTTGGCTTTCCTATGTAGCTTACATCATCAACTTTCTTGACTTCCACTTTTCGTTTCTGTTTCTCCTGTATCTGTTGGTCCAGAACCGCCTTCAGCTGGGCGTTGCTGCGGACGATGGCCTGCGCCCGGCGCTTCTCCTCCTCGTCCAGGGCGTCTTCCCTCGCTTTGAAGTGCTTTTCAATGATGCTCGGGTCTATCCACCTCTTGGCAGGTGGGCGTTCCTTAGCGTCCTCTTCTTGCCTGGCCTGCAACAGAGGCACAGACAAGGGTCAGGGGAGGTGGACCGTGGGGGACTGTCGTTCCTCCATACAGAGAATGAATGCACGGATGTTTCCTTGTGGTCATCAGTACCAGGTTGGCCGCAAGTTCGCGTGAAGATCGCATAAAGTTGTTTTGCGAAATGTGCAATTTTCCCACATCGGCACAGTAGCCATGTCACTTGTTGCGTCTGCTGGGCAATCAAAGGCCGAGCCAGTTCTAAATGCGTGCAATGATCTCCCAAGAGGACTCCCAAGCATCCGCAGTCCATCAACGACAGCGACACGCGATCAAGGCACCAAGGAGTGCGAGCGGCCTCCCCCATGGTGCACGCGTTGGCGACACAATTTCTGGCGAATTCGGGGAGATTTCAGTACTATAGGCTCGTTGTGACGTCTTCCGGCTCCTAACCTGTATGGCCTTGAGTTTCTCCAACTGGATGTGCCTGGTGGCTTCCTGATGATCCAGCATGGCCGCATACTCCTGCATGTACCTCTGGTCCAGTTCCATTTCCTTCTGCCTCTCCTCCTCCTTTATCTTCTTGTTGATCTCGTTGGAGGCCAGGAATTTGCAGAGCGCTTCCTTTGCCCGCTGCCGCCTGTTAAGCTCCTCCTCCATTTGACTCCTGGTGTCATGAGCAATCTTTGCTATGAGTATCTCTTCCTCTTCTTTCTTTCTGGCCAATGCCTGCCGAGGGGCACAGACAAAACCTACTGCCCTTAAAAAGCTCGGGAGGCGCTGTGTCTGCCATCTTCACAAATGTTCAGGACAATCTGGAGGCAGTTGTGTGAGCCGTTGGCAGTGCGCATCAGGCGGCACGCTGCCTTGCTGGCGCCCAAAGGATGCAAGAGGCGTTGCAAAGGTGCGTGGAGAGGAAAGCGCCTGTGGCAGGGCGCAATGTACACACGAAACGCCAGCAGCCTTGCATGCGCGTTCTTAAGAAGGTCCTGGTTGCGGAGCGCGGACTTTGGAGCGCAGCACAACGACTAAGGCGAATACCATAGTCGTGGCTGCTCGCAAGACCGCCCTCTCTCCACCACGCCCGTCCTCACCTCCTCCCTGCGACGCCTCAC